GAATGGTGAAAATGTGCGATTTCAATGCATTTTCGGCCTTAAAGCGGCCGCCATTTGACTATCGTTAATGAGATCATGAAACAAATGCACATACATATTTGTGACATGATGTACCTTGTGTGTGTGAAGTTTGAACTCGATTAATCCAGGCATGTCTCAGATACGGATCCAGAACTGAATTCTTTAAAACAAAATGGCCGCCAGTCGGCCATTTTGAACTTGATTCAAAAAAAAAATGACGTGCATCAAGATCCTATTATGTTTAATGTATGTACCAAATTTGAACAAAATCCGTCCATGCATAACTGAGATCCGGGTCCGGAATGGTGAAAATGTGCGATTTTGATGCATTTTCGGCCTTAAAATGGCCGCTATTCGGCTATCGTTAATCGGATCATGAAAAAAATGCATGTGCATATGTCCCATATAATGTGTGATGTATGAGTGAAGTTTGAACTTAATCGGTCCATGCATGTTCGAGATACAGGTGATCACGGACTCACGGATGCACACAGGGCAAAACATAAGTCCTCGTTTTCGGACTACATCCGAACGGGGACTAATAATTGATGTGTGGTTGCAATTATGGTTACTTCATGGTTTAAATAACTCCACTATGTTGAGTGTCTTCCTCAAAACAAAGTATGATAACAGTGATATACTAGTAATTTGCCATAGTTTCAGAATGTTTTAAATCACAGCCATGGTAGTCTATATGGTTGTTGCCATGGAAATTGCAATTGTTATCACTATTGAGCTGGTATTTTTCAAAAAAAAGTCAAAAATAGCATTTTTTACCAAAAGAATTTGCTTAAAATAGAGAATTGAAAATATCACTATGAAATGAACAAATCTGATAGAGGTCCACTCAAGGTACCTACATACCAAGTAAAAAGCAATTTAGCTAGTAGTTTTCAAGAAGTCAAAAATTGCATTTTTTTAAAATAGAGTTGAAGACATCACCACGAAATAATTGAGCTAAAAATCAACCATTTCAAAAAAGTGCGCTTGAAGATAATTTCACTTGCCAAAACCTTATGAATAATAAATACATTTACAGTAGATTGCAGGTTTTAGAAATATACCAGAATTGCGAGGAAATACACGTCATGCAATATTTGCTTACCTTTACTCCGCATTGTCTCATCTTCATATTTCCGTGCTTGACGTTGCAATTCTTTAGCTGCTTTGCTAGCTTGGTTCGCTTCCTGGGCTTGTTTTATCCGCTCTCTTTTTTCTTTTTCTAATGCACTTTGCAGTTCCCTCACTTGATCTAATGTCAAGACAGAGATTATGTGAAAAATAAAGAAAATAAATGAACTCACTTAAACATAATATTGAGTCAAGAGGAAGTTTTTAATTAATCCAACCAGTCAAAGTGTATTACAAAAATGCTGCAGGATTTTGTTGTGAGACAGAGAGGAGGATAAATTACCTCTAAGTTGTTTTGCTTCATTATGATTCTGTTTAGCAGACTGCTGTGCATCAAGTAGTTGTTCTGAAAGTAAGAAACAATGTTTAAACAATTAGTTCATTGTAGTCTACCTATGGATCTATTGTAAGGTAAAGAATTTGACAGGAGGATGTGCCCCCCCCCCACACGCACACTATAACTTCAGAGAAGACTTCACAGTAAAGAAAAGCAGACAACAGACAAAGACAAAACATGACAAATATTCCCAAATGAAACATATGCATGTATATGAATAGGTCATACAAACAACCAGAGTTCACTGGGTATCATCATTATAGGGGGGAAAATAGTTTTGAAATCTGTGGATCCAATCACACTGCAAGTGTTTTTATGTAGCTGTAAACAAAATAATAATTCCCATGTTACAAAACCATACAACAAAACAAGACGACTGTACATAGAACATAGAGTTGACAGACTAATATAACATACAATTTTACACACACCATGGAAGGTAAAAAGAGAGGAGATAGCATGCTATTGTTCTCCCTTGTTCCATGATCGTTTCGATTTATTTACTTGGTAAACAATTTCGTAATGCGATTACGTGAATAATTCATATTCGGGTCGGCTCAATTCAAACATGACAACAAATCTTGCTGCACCAGTAAAACTATCAAGCAAGACAGCAAGACAGCAACATAACCATAACCCAACATCCATTCCTATTTGAGTATTTCAATCGTGGACAATAACTGTAAAAATCGTTAAAATGAAATGAAAAATATGTATGTATATGCTCATATCAGAAAACTGACACAACAATAACTGTTTGTGATCACACCATGGTTCTAACATCACACCACCTTCCATATGATCACACACACAACGTATTTATAAGTATATTTGTTGTGCCGAGGCGGTAACAAAATGGTGAAACTATTGCGAAAAAAACTCGTTTTTTTCACCATCGCATATCACCGCAAACAAACAAGACAAAGCTTACTCGCAAGTGCCTGACATAAAGTCCCACTTGAGCTTTTTAAATACTTTGGGAGACAATTGGGCGTGTAGTTTTTTCGTCTTTAAAAATGGAACAAGTTTACGTGCAGAGACCGAGCAGCGTATCATCCACTCACGCTGGAAAACAACTGACGAGTGTTATGTTTCTGGTGTCAATGACCTTTCTGCGCATACACTCTTCCGTCTCTTCGCTGATGCGCAGTGCCACTCGTGACAGTGATTTTTTTTCACAGTCACGAAAAATGCGAGTTCATCCCATTTCGCTGAGTAAATAAGCGGTACTGGTGACGGGGTAAAACGAAATATAAACAATAGCAATAAGGCGATATTGTTAGCTTGAAACAAAAGAAATAAACCGGATTAAAAGTTGTCCTATCTCCTCTCTTTTTACCTTCCATGCACACACACACAAAGACAAACAAGTGGGTACACACACAGGGAGTCAAATGAAGGGATAAACTCTAATACCTACTTTTGATATCGTCCAACATATTGTCTTTCTGTCTGTACGTTTCCTGTTCTTTAGATAAAATACCTCAAGAAGAAAAGACGATAGAAGTGACATAGCTGTGACTGATTATAGTAAAAGTTGTACTTCATTTCTACTAAAAATGATAACCCTTTAAATTTTGAGCAAAAAATTTTGATATGCAACATTTTTACACATCTTTATGTATTTTTCTACAGTGGTATTGTTTATTTCGAATAAAAAAGGCCTAATTCACATTGGTTGTAGGTCTTGATCAAATATGGGAAAGATTATGCAGCTTTATCTTAAAAAGAGTGTTCAAATGGTAGCAAAATACACCCTAAAACAACAAAAGTTGTAGAGTTCGGGAAGGGATAGGGGCATTTGAAGTGTGCAATAGTTGAATTTTAATGTTTTGGGTAAAATTGCTATGTGAATATGAAATTGATTAATATACAAATTTGCAAAAAGATAATGACAAGAACAACAAATGTATTTACAGTGATGTATATGTGTGATAATTAGAAGCAAAGACCAAATTTTAAATGAAAGCAATATACAAAATATACAAACATCTCATGATGGTTTACAGTTGTTACAGTTTGTTTTCTGAAAGTCTGATGTTGCTTGAATGATTGGCATATCACTATGCAAGTATATAATGATGCCATAGTAATGAAAAAGAAATTGGTGAATAATTTGGATGCAGTTATTAATCAGATTACAACAATAACACAATACAAGTAATATCTTTAATAAACTTTCACAGTGAATATGCAATCACATGTTCACATGACATCACAGAGAACTGATATGTTCTGATTTTGACAAACCATATGTTGAAAATGAAGCTCCTGTCTACCAAAAAAGGTTTCCCAGATTACCTGACATTAGTGAACATGCAGCCTCTCGGCTAAGATAGCTGCACTGTTAGCAATGCACATTTCAAAAAAAGAATTGAAGATATCATTAGAAAATGAACAAATCTGATAGAGGTCTGCCTCAGGTAGTATTAGTATCAAAGCAATCAGACTTGCAGTTTTTAACAAGAAGTCGAAAATATAACATTATCAAAAATGACAAAATGTTCACCAAAATTAGAGAATTGAAATACCATCACGAGATGAACAACTGTAGTACATATATGCCTAATATCCAATCAATTGGAAGTCGAAAATATCACTTTTCACCAAAAATGTCAAAAATATTCATCAAAATTAGAGAATTTAAATATCATCACGAAATAAACAAATCTAAAAGGTTTGCCCAAGGTACATATACACCAAGTATCAAATAAGAATTGTAGTTCCCAAGAAGAAGTCAAAAAAGAAAAATTTGACATGGATGTTGACGGACAATCACTCGTATGTTAAGCTCTGCTCGACAAAATCGACAGCGGAGCTAAAAAGAGAAAGAAAAGATATATGCTTACTTTTTAGGTTTTCAGCTGCTTTGTGGTTAGTTTTAGCGGTTTCTTGTTCTTCTAGAAGTTGATCTACAATTATAAAGCAGATGGTAGATCATACAATTAATCTTACATAAACTATTAAAATGAGAATTTTCTTGCATGTGACAGGTACAAATATAGAATTCTTTGGTCTGGCTTTAAAAAAACAAAAATCAAAGAAAGCTTAGAAAGAACTCCCGTGTGCTGAGAGTATTGGAGACACATTCAAAATTAATTCAAAATTACTTGAACTTGAGATGTTGATGGAAACGCAAAAAACTAATTATGCAAATTAGGTAACTAATATGAACAGATTTAAGTGTAAAACTAATAAGGTCTGCACAATGTAACAAGTTTGATTGAAATGTGATTAGAACCAAAATAATATTAATTATTATGCTAATTAGAGAATTAATATGAACAGATTTTAACCCAAAATTAATCAGGCTGTCTATTGTCCTAGAGCACTTATGTACCAAGTTTTATTCAAATGTGATGATCAATACTTGAGATATCAGTATTAATTAATTATATTAATTAGGTGATTAAGAAGCATAAATATTTACCAAAAACTAATATGGTGTATAGTCCTAGGTTCATTGAAATGTGATGGGTACTCTTTAAAAGTTTCATTGAAATCCAATGAGTGGCTTTTAGACATCAGTGCAACAGCCATAGAACAGCAAAAAATTAACTAATTATGCAAATTAGGTAATTAATAGGCACAATTATTTATCCCAAAATTAATCAGGTCTCTGCAGTCCTAGAATATCTATGTAACAAGTCTCAATGAAATGTGATGATTAGTACTTGAGATATCAGTGAAAAGCTGAAAATTAACTAATTATGCTAATAAGTGATAATATGCACAAA